GAACTTCGTGAACCAAATGCACGTCTTCCCAATGGTCGCCCATTGCCCCCTCTCTTCAATTTTAAGCAGGAGGTACGGCTTTCATGTGTTTATTCTTAAATTAAATGTTGTACCATCCATGCTTTATTCTTCCGGATCTCAGCTGAAGGGCACTCCAGGGTAGTACAGTAGGCATTCAATGTGATTAAATTCTTCAGATTACCCAAAGGCCAGACTATAGAAGTCAGTTTGGTACTTAAACGAAGATTTAGAATGATTGATTCCATCAACCCACTGGAAGGCAGTTACGGTTTCTGATACCCTGTGGCTGGTGGTAATAGTTGATCATTGATCCAAGTCCGTAGTATGCACTGGAAAATGAATGCGAGCACATTCTTATTCTGGAGCATGGATGTGTTATGCAATGAATCATCTTTATACAGGGGCCTCATGTTTAAAGTTGGTGTTTTGGAATGGGAAGCTTGATGAGGGTAATGCAATCTAGCATGTCATAAGTTATGCTTCTTGGAGGTATTGCCGGCCACTGGTATACAACACAATGACATAGGACTCATTCTGGATTTGGCAAAAAATAATGGTTCCCTGGCCAAGGAAAGGCATAATTGAGAGGACAATGAAGATGGAGATTGCGACAGAAAACAAAAGGAGAAAAAGGAGAAGAAACAAAAGCCAGAAACTCACAGGCATCCTTTATGTGTGAAGATTGACAAAAGGATCTGTAGCCATTCGTCGAACTCAAAGAAGAGGAGGTCCATTGGTCACTAGAGTATTTTTGTTTCTTTTTTTGTTAGTAGTTGAGGTAGATTAGGCTTCTAAGAAATGGACTGAGCCTATACTTAATTGGCCAAGAATAAGTTGGGCTACTTAACATTAAGGTTTATACAACATAACAATACCACTGGATTAAATGGCTTAATGGTGGTCCTTCCATATTGTTCTTTGAAACAAGCCTTTGAGGTTCTTATGATTCTGTGGGAAAGTTATGTTAGAGGTTGGGTGAAAATCATTCTAGCTAAGAAGTTCTGATGATTAAATTAGTGTCGATAGCGAGAACAAGTAGACTAGTCTAGTGGTGAGAAACATCTCTGGTGGACTGTGTCAGTATATTTATTGGGGTGGAGTGACCTTGAGGTGTTTGAGATTACACCTTGAAAAACAGGAAGGCCCTTTTGTCCAATACCATGATGTCAGATAACAGGTTCTAAGTGAGGTACTTGCATTGGTAAAGAAGCTATGCACTGTCACTGAATCTTAATTAAAGAAAGCCCTTTCATCCTAATCCCATATCTACTGACAAGAGGGCCAGGGAGAAGACTGAAGAGTCCTAATCCCATATCTACTGACAAGAGGGCCAGGGAGAAGCCTGAAGAGTTGAACTCCCTCAAAAAATAGTATAGTATCTTGTAAGATGCTGGGAGAAAGACGCGATAATATGTAATCTGTAAAGGATAAAACCTCATTGTTCAGTGATCTTCATTCTAATTGGTTACTAAGGAGATGTTAGTCACAGCAGCATTTTAATTATAAGGATGGGGAAAATTGTTAAAGCATGTATTTCTGCAAAGAGCCCAACTTAACTGTACATATCTTTAGCTGGAATTGCCATCTTCAATTGTCCATTAGAATTTAGAAGCATGTCAAGGCCATTAATATTGAAAAACTGTATTACTATGACAGTTACGCATTCTATACTTGCCTATTTTAAGTTAACTCTATTGCTTATCCACCTATATTTTTCCTGGTTTCAGTTGTCTGGTGCCTCTCCGGACCTCGTAAACAGGTTGATACCAGACCATATAAAAAGGCAGATGGGCCTGCATCTTTTTGCATCCCACGGTGACATGACGTGAAGTATATGCTTAGTAAAGTATACTAGTTTATGATCTATATATGAAGGGATCCAAGTTACATCCCTCCAGAGCAGAGGAGTCCTGCATAACAAGCGACAGTATCTCCTGGTCGAAAAGGACAATGTAATGGGCTGCAGTGCATTTTAGTTCTGTACTTTGTATTATCTTTTTTGTTCCACTCTTCAAAGTCTTCCTATCTTAGCAGCCAACTAGTGAAAAGGAAATATGTTTTTGTACATGTTTGTTAGTAGTATATTGACCAGAAAGCTTCCGGGGACACGATTGAATATGCATGGACAAGTTGCAAGGCTCCAAAAGGATTGCCAGGACTTGAAAGGGCAGTGTTTTTTTTTTCTTCTTAAGTTGATATCTCACTTCAGTTTGTATTTAGCAGTCTTGTACTTTGAAAGGAGTTGCAAGCAAATTTGTGTTACAGTTGCTCTATGTGATTAATCAAACATATCTATTTTGTTGCCTCTTCATCTGTTCTTGTCATAAAAACCTTAATTCCCGATGCTTCCTACTTTTCATTTCATGACAACCTTTGGTTTGGACCTGTTCTCTTCATAGAGACCTCATTTTTAAAAATGAATTAAGACATTGAGTTAAAAGATTTTGTTACTCTTTCCGTTCAACAATAGTTGTTCAACAGTACTTGTTCAATTTAGAAAATTAAGAGATAATTTACCTTTTGTGTCTATTTTATCCTTGTTATTAAACGCTATTTACCATCTAACACATTTTTTAAAGCATTAAATTTAATCAAGTCAAAGAATGATGTATTAATATTATCCCTATTATTTATTGTTTCTTAAGGGAGGTGTCAAGTTTATAGTGGACAACTATTATTGGATAGAAGAAATTTCTTATTTTTCTATACAATATACCCACTTACAATATTATTATGAAATTAAAGAAACTAAGCTATAAATGCAATAATCAAATATCATAATTAAACACAAACAACACAGAAGGGTTTGTATGGGTCTGTAACTCTGTATAACTCGTGAAAGAAACGAAAGTGATATTCGAAAGCAATTTCTCAAACGAGAGTGATTGATTATTTTTTGGGTGTGTATATGATTCTGTGCTAACAATCTGTTTCATTTTGTAAGGGTCAAACTATCCCCACAGTAAACACCAATGGCGAGCACTTCAAAACTTATATGAAATGATTCGCTGAGCAAGATCTATTTGGTACAAATTTAAATTAGTTGAGCTTCAATGTGATGAGGATTCAAAAAAAATACTCCATCTATTTCAATTTATGTGACTTACTTTCCTTTTTAGTCGGTTCAAAAAAGAATGACACATTTCTATATTAAGTACTCCCACTGTCCCAATTTATATGACTTACTTTTCTTTTTAGTCAGTCCCAAAAAGAATGACATATTTCTATATAAAGTAACAATTTAACTATAAAATGTCAATTTTACCTTAGTGAAATGATTTATAGTCACACAAATTTCTATCATTCATTTTAGACCACAAGTTTTAAAAGTCTTCCTTCCTTTCTTAAACTTCGTGTCGAATCAAAGTACCTCACATAAAATGGGACGGAGGGAGTAACAATTTAACTATAAGATATCTATTTTACCCTTAATGAAATGATTTACAGTCACACAAATTTCTATCATTCATTTTAGACTACAAAATTTAAAAATCTTTCACTCTTTTTTAAACTCCGTGCCGAGTCAAACTACCTCACATAAAATGAGACTGAGGGAGTAATAATTTAATGTTAGAAAGGAAATAAATAGTATAATATATATTTTTATTGTGTCTAATGAATATATTTAGAGAAAAATAGATTAGTTTTTGGGTGTGTATGGGATTCTGTACTAATTGTCTGTTTCATTTGTAAGGGTCAAAGTATCTCGCACTTCAAAACTTATTATATGAAATGATTCGGTGCTTCTTTACCCACAATACATTCTCTTTTAATTGGTTAAAATACAGTCCAACCAATGAATACCCTCTGTTCACTATCCTTACAGTGTTGCTTATCTAATAGGAAACACACTATTGCTGTCCTCTTACGGAAGACAAGGGGACACTCCCCAAATCTCAAGACTTGATCTTAATTTTCTTTTCCAACCCACTTTTAAAATCACTACGAGGAGAAGTTGCTAAGAATTTTCACATCGGTAGAGGGATAATTAATCTCTTTATATGAACTTGGATAAACATTTTCTCATGAGTTAACTTTTGCGGTTGAGTTAGGTCTAATTGTCATATCTTTACATGGTATCAGATCCAGACTCATATCAATTTGTTGTTCACTGATGTTGGACCCCCGTTTAAAGGTGTTCACGCTCCGATTGAGGTCTGGGTGTGCGGAGGAGTGTTAAGAATTTCCACATTAGAGGGATGGAAAATTGATCTTCTTGTATGGACTTGGACAAATCTCCCTCATGAGCTAACCTTTTGAGTTTGGCTAGGTTCAGGTGTCATATTTTTACATGAGCCAGCTTATCTTTAGCTTTTGGGATTAAGTTAGATTCAAGTGTCATATCTTTACAGTACTACAATTTGCTTGCATTATGAATAAGACTAATATTTTCCATTTATTCTCCCCAGTTTTTCTTTTTGAAGAATTTTTTTTTAATCGATCCGAATAATTCAGATTTGCATCATATAAGTTTAGAGGTGGAATAATAATTTAAACTTTATAAATTTTAAATTCAATGATAGAGATATTCACGGTTAGTAATTGGGTTCTAATTTTTATACATATATTTATATATAAATTTAAGATTTGAACTAAATTTATTAAATTCCATCCATCATATCATATCCTGCTTATGATACTAAAAAGTGCTTCTTTCTGCAATGATTTCGTGGGGTTTCCCATTTGGCCTGTTGAGGGACTATTTATTCAATGGACTATTAATGACTGTAAGGAAAAACAACAACAACATTTAGAAAAATTCCACAAATAGGAAAATGACAGTAAGAAAAAGAGAGTACAAATTTACATCTCTTAGTAGGATGAATCTGAAGAGTTTTTACAAAGTAACAAATTTTTATAGTTAAATTGGTACTAATACTTCGGATTCTCTTTTCTTAATTAAAAAATAAAAAACCAAACAAGACTTTTCAGCCATTTATAAGCTCGAGGGAAATATATTTTTATGTGCTACTCTACTGCTGCACAATGATGAATTCTAAAAAGGACTTTTTCTGAAAGCTCTGCACCAAAATCTTTCTTTTGGGTAATTAGCTTTTTGGATCCAAATGGCAACTTTGCTACTCATTTTCTCATTTTTTCTTCATTGGGTGGCCACCACTCCAGCTTCCATGGGTTTTCTTTCACCTAAAGGTGTCAACTATGAAGGTAAAGATTAAAACTTTACTATAATCCAATCATTCTTTTTTTTTCCAGTGAAAAATCCGAACTTTATTGCTTAGCACTTGTTTATTTTTGTTTTCATAGTTTAGAGTGGTAAAGATGAAAACTTTACTACAATCCAAACATTTGTTGTTTTTTTTCCAGTGAAAAATCCAAACTTTGTTGCTTAGCACTGTTTATAAGCATTTATTTGTTTATGTTTTCATAGTTTAGAGTGGTAACTTTACTTAAAGATTTGTTGAATTTATTGTGGGGTAAGCAGTGGCAGCATTGATGTCTATGAAGAATAGAATGAGAGATGAATACCATGTGTTAGATGGATGGGATATAAATTCTGTTGATCCTTGTACTTGGTACATGGTTGGTTGTTCTTCAGAAGGCTTTGTTATTTCTCTGTGAGTTTTCTCCCTTTCTGTTACATCTTGTCCATTTCTTTTCCCTTTCTGTGAAAATAATTTATTATTATTCTTTGGTTATATATTCTTGGCAGTGAAATGGCAAGTATGGGATTATCTGGCACACTTTCGCCTAGTATTGGGAATTTAACTCATCTTCGGACAATGTAAGACTAATTTGACATGAATTTCCCACTTTATTCTTATTTTGATGTGATGCTGCTCACATATATCTTGGAGATACTTGAAGTTAAAATCACATAGTACTTTTAGTTTAATAATTACTAATACTATTAAGAGTGACATTAAGTGATTTAATTGCAAGATATGTTGAAAAATATCTTTTAATATGATCTGTTGAAGTCATTTTTGCATTGGTTTTTGTTGTAGGTTGTTGCAGAATAATCATTTATCTGGTCCAATTCCTACTGAAATTGGACAGCTCACTGAACTGCTGACCCTTGATTTGTCTGGTAATCAGTTTGATGGAGGAATTCCTAGGGCGTTGGGTCGCCTGATTTATTTAAATTACTTGTGAGTGTAGGCTAAACTCTTGATTTTGTTCTATCTTTATTACTCGTATGTTACACTTCCCCTTGTTGGCTGTGTATGTAATCCTTTGGTGTGTCAAATTCTCAGGAGGCTTAGCAGGAACAGATTGTCTGGACAAATTCCTAAACCTGTGGCATACCTTTCAGGTCTTTCATTCTTGTATGTCTTCCATCCATGACATTTATATGTCCAATACAAGGGCTATATGAGAGTTAAATAAACTGTGGATGGTGTTGTGTAGGGACTTATCATTCAATAACCTTAGTGGTCCAACTCCAAAAATTTTGGCCAAAGACTACAGGTAAGATCCAAGGAAATATTATTATATCTGTCTCAATGTTTGGTCCTCAATAGTCGGTGAACTGGAAGAATCCTTCGGGTCTCTAGTTTGATGAATCAAGGAATTCAGGGTTTACACTTTTACTATGAGGAGGATGGTATATGCCACAGTACTGTGCCAGAATCTTATTCATTAATGGAGTTTAAGATAAACACCTTGATCTTAAATTCAACTGCAAAATAGAAGCTTGATTCAATATTGTTGCATCTGCAACATGCCATATGGCGCAGTGCCACACATAATGTTTCTCTCGTAATAAAGTTATGCTTTCTATAGTTTTAGTAACTGTTATCTTGCATTCCAATTTGTTGTTGTGGTATGTCCCTTCACTGGAAACCAGCAGTCAGTTCTTGCAGACCTGAAAGTAATATCTCAAATCTCATTATCAAAAAAAAGAAGAAAAGAAGAAGTAATATCTCAAATCTCCTTATCAAAAAAAGAAGAAGTAATATCTCAAATCTTATCATTGAAGTATTATCTTCTTACCTGGTCTAATGGAACTTCCATGATGTTTGTTTGATATAATTCCTATATTGCTAAATATGCTAATGTCAAGCAGAATATTTGCTTGAGATAATATCTGATGTTATAGAAGTTTTCTATTCTACTTGCAATGCTTGTTGATTACCTTCCCCCTGGCATCATACTAGCAACCCTTCGGGTTCTTTTGTATTCTATTTCAGCTTATAATTTGGTTGTTGCCTTAGTATTGCAGGAAACAGATTTCTTTGCTCTGCATTGACCACGCAAATTTGTGGGGGTGTGCCAAAACCAGTAAATGGTATTGTTGAAATTTTACCAGAACTTGTCATTATATTGAGGCTGATGTTTTTAATCAAACTCTATTTTTACCATGCAGAAACATCTTCAGACAAGAGGATTACCAATCATCATCGATGGGTTGTTTCTGTTAGCGTTGGGGTCAGTTGCACATTCATAGTTACAGTCGTGCTTCTGGTTTGTTTGGTGCATTGGTACAGATCTCGTGTCCTCACAGGATATGGTAATTACAAGATTAGAAACACATCTCCGATTTCTTGCAAATTAAGACTAGATACATTATGAGTCTCTGATCATTTGATCTGCAGTGCAACACGATTGTGAGTTCGCCACTGGCCACCTGAAGAGATTTTCATTTCGTGAACTGCAAATTGCCACTGGTAATTTCAGCTCTAAGAACATACTAGGACAAGGTGGATTTGGAGTGGTTTACAAAGGATACCTTCCAAATAGGACAGTAGTGGCTGTCAAAAGATTAAGAGATCCAAGTTTCACTGGAGAAGTGCAGTTTCAAACAGAAGTTGAGATGATAGGCTTGGCTGTGCATCGGAACCTTCTACGTCTGTATGGATTCTGTACGACTCCCGAGGAAAGATTACTTATTTACCCTTATATGCCAAATGGGAGCGTTGCCGATTGCTTGAGAGGTTTGCTTTGAAGTATATTTGCTTGGTGCTTTTGCTGAAGCATTCTTTTTTCTTGTCACAATGGATTTCGTAAACTGATCAAGTTTAACATATGCATTTCAATTATTCCTAGTGCTCTCAATGTTAATCTGGCAAAAACTCTTGAAAGGTCATGGTTTATGGAAATCGAGGACTTTGTGCTATATTTTTACTGTACATCTGAAAACACCAGGGCCCTATGATGAAAACAACTTTTGATTGATTATCTTAGATAGTTAAATTGGATTTACATTGTCAATGTTTCTTGTGAAAGTGGAATGAAATCTATTATCAACATATCAATCAACAATGCATCAAACCCAATCTAGTTGGGGTTGACTATATGAATTTTTTGTATCCATTGCAATTAAGACTCCTGATGTAGTGCATTACCTAAGTAGGCATGCCTCTAGCAATCTATTGCGACCTTACGTGCTATTAAGCTTAATTTTTATGTGACAGTTTCTATCCATCTTCTGAAACTCTAATGCCATTTATGGTATCAACTTACATTATCCATGAATAAAATAAATTGTTATTTGGCAGTAAGGTAACTGTCGTGTTGTCATTAATTTTTAGCATGACCAATTCAAGTCAATTTTTAGCTATATGAACACAAAATCAAGTTGGAATTATTGGAATGTAAACGCATTAGCTTGATGTAGTGACTGTGTATCTTTTGCTCTGTTCTCACATAATCTTTTGTTATCTACCAGACAATGGCCGGGATAAACCATTTTTGGATTGGAGAAAGCGCATGCATATAGCTCTTGGAGCTGCCAGAGGTCTTCTGTATTTGCATGAACAGTGTAATCCTAAAATAATTCACAGAGATGTTAAGGCGGCTAATATTCTGCTTGATGAAAGTTTTGAAGCTGTTGTTGGTGATTTTGGTCTTGCTAAGCTTTTAGACTGTAGAGATTCTCATGTTACAACTGCAGTTCGTGGTACTATAGGTCATATAGCACCAGAGTATTTATCAACTGGTCAATCATCTGAGAAGACAGATGTCTTTGGATATGGGATACTACTTTTGGAACTCATTACAGGACACAAGGCATTAGATGCAGGAATTGGTCAGGGTCAGAAAGGAACTATTCTTGACCGGGTGTGTAGCTTCTAACCCTCCTACTGTTTGAAGCTTTATATAGTTGTGCATATAATTTCTAGACTTTATTTGATTAACCGGTTAATAGTTAATCTTCTTGCAGGATTTTGTTTGAGTCATAATCAATATCAATATTTGACTTGAAATTTTTCACTAAAATTGACGCAATAACTAGTGTCTAACGCAGAAGTTGCTCCACATCTTATGAGAGAAGTACAGTTCCAAAATTCTGAATCATTGCTCGAAAACTTGTTCTTTTTACTGACTGCATAATCTGGTTCATGATCTGTAGGAATTATGGACAACATATTCAAGGTTTTTGAATCACTTACTGATCAGTGCAATAAAATTATTGCTGTGTATTACCTTACTGTTGCATACTTAAGCCCTTAAATATAAATTATTTGGTTGATTTTTTATCACATATAATGTTACACTTGCATACTTTAAGCCCTTGATTAACTTATTTGGTTGATATTTATTACATTATCATGTAAGTCTGAACAACCATGTGTTATGCTAGAATAGTTGTGTGAAAAAAGGTACCCGTTCTATGCTTCTTCAATTATGATTTTTCTTCCTTCTCAGTCTGTTTTATGTGGAGTAAAGATTTTCAGAACATGATAGAGCTCAGAGTTTGTTATGTCTATTATTCGGGCCTATTCATTCTGACAACCTGTCCAATTTACAGGTCCGGAATTTATTTGAGGAAAAGAAAGTGGAAATGCTTGCGGATAGGGATCTAAGAGGATGTTTTAATGCAGAGGAGCTAGAGAAAACAGTTGAAGTGGCTCTACAGTGTACTCAATCTAACCCCAATAATCGGCCTAAGATGTCGGAAGTTTTGAGAATCCTGGAAGGTGTTACAGAACAAATGGGGCATGTGGACGAATCACAAGGTGGAAGCAACACATGTCAAACAAGGGCTTTCAGCTTCTCTAGGAATTTTAGTGATATTCATGAAGAATCCTCATTTACTTTTGAACCAATTGAGCTTTCAGGACCCAGATAACTAAAGTAGCCTGCACTGGCATCGTCATAATAAGCGTGCAATCTTGATATATCTAGTTCAGCCATACATACGAGTATATTGTTGCTTTAAGTCAATGTCCTAGTACTCTGTAAGTTACTGTAATTTGTAAATTTTGTTGCAAAAACATTCATTATACTAGTTCTTGGTGGTTCACAACCTGTGTTAGAACTAGCTAGACTAACTTCATTTTGGAACTTCATTCTTTGGAAATGACAAACTTCCATACTAGTTCTGCTGTGTTCGTTGAACGTTTGTGATGACAACAGGTCTATGCGTTTCAGAAGTTTGATTCTTACTAGGATTTTGTAGTGAGATAAACAAGAATCTAGATTAAGGAGATGCTCCCCATGTTTTGAGCGGCTGTTGTTGGAGAGTTCATTATGGAGTTAAGTCAATGCAACTTATTTCCATATTGAACTTTTAAAGACACCTAGAACAAACCTATGGAACTATTGACTTTCATTAACACCAATAGCTGAAGCAAGCTAACTGAAGCTGCTAGGAAAACTGATGAGAGGAATACACAAATAAAACTATCGTACGGTCCTGAGATCAAGAAATTATAGTTGGTGTATAGAATAGTGTGGAGTTGCTTGTAGAGTTTCTTCATGGTACCAAGGTAACTACTATTGGACTCCTAACAAAGTGCTTGGATGAGGTCCATTTCACAAATCCTTGAACGAATGTGGCATTAATGTTTGAAATTGATCGGTTAAAGGTTACTTGATATGTTTTCTTCTGGTACATCTCTGAGAAGTGTAAGGTGGAAGGTTCAACTTTCACATCAACTCCTTGGGGTGGCACAATCTCCAGAGTATAAGATGATATAGGCTCCCCAACATTGGTCACAGTCCTTGTGTATTCTTGTAAATCAGATCCAAGTCTAATTGAAAATGATGGATAGTTTAGTTCTGCTTCAGGAGTAGTTGATGAGCAGTTCACTTGTTGCAAAACAATCAAACTTACAGCTCTACTTGGGTATAATCCGCATAAATAAGGTATATACTCATTTGGTTGGATGTCATAGATCAGTCCCGGATCATTTGCTCTTACTGGGTTAACGTGGCCTGCACCAGTTGCAAAGAAGTCAGCACGGAGGCCCCTTTCGTCTTCAATGGGATTATTTCCAAGGTTTACCAGATCAGCGGTCGTCATGATTGCAGACTTGATAGCAGATGGAGACCATTCTGGATGTGCACTCTTGATCAATGTTACAACTCCTGAAAGGTGAGGACAGGACATTGAAGTGCCAGACAGTGTGTCAAAGGTAGACTTTTTGTTGGTATTGTTCTCCACAGACGTTGGCCATGCTGCAAGGATGCTAATACCAGGACCGATAATATCAGGTTTCAATATGCCAGGGCTTTCTGGAAAAGGGCCTCTAGATGAGAAGGCTGCAACTGCTGGAGCATGATCATCTCCAAATATAGTTCCTTTAAACAAAAAGGAAGCCACAGGGGTCGATGTTGAATTTATGTAGGCTTTGATCTTCAGGCCATCAATAAAACTGATATGTGCTGCTGGAAGAACATGAGGTTCAGCTTGTATAGTGAAGCCTTGTGGTTCCTCATTCATGAGTATCATTCCAGCACCCCCAGCATCCTTCACAAAATGTCCTTTATCAAGTCTGTTTATCTTACCACCATCTTCGCAAAAGACTATCTTCCCCTTCACATTAATATTTTTCAAAGACTCGGCATTGCAGAATGGGGCCATCAGATCACTAGAACTTTTTCCAGGGTAAACTAATGGAAGCAGAGTTTGAGAGAAGTCTTCAGGTTGAAAAGCTGATTCACCATCAATTTCTTCACTGTTCCCCAGCAGTACTGTTGCCCTTAGTTTTCTATCAGTGGTGCTAGCACCAACAGTGAGAAGCCATGGAGCTCCATTTGCTACTGTGCCATGTTCTGGGCCCATATTACCAGCTGTGGTGCTCACCAGAATGCCATTTTGAATTGCAGTAAATGAACAGAGTGCAATAGAGTCTTCCCAGAAAGGTCTAGAGATATCGTCAATGGAAATAGAAATTACATCAACACCATCTTCGATTGCAGCATCCATAGCAGCAAATGTGTCACTCTCAGAACAAGCAGCGCTAGCGTCACAGACTTTATACATGGCAACATGAGCAAGGGGAGCCACGCCAGAAGCTGTTCCATTAGAAAGTCCAAAAACATTGGCACCACTAACAAAGTTTCCAGCAGCTGTGCTTGCAACATGTGTGCCATGTCCATTCTCATCCAAAGGCGTCCCATTTCCAAACTCCTGGAAATATCTAGCTCCAATGAGCTTGTTGTTGCAGGCTGTAGTAAAGTTGAATTCACACTTGCCCTTCCACTTTGCCGGTGGAGGAGGCACTCCTTCATCATTGAATGATGGATGATCGGGTGTTATCCCAGTGTCTAAAAATCCAATAATCATACCTTTACCATAGTTTATACTTTTCCAGAAGCCTAAGTTCTGGTGCAGCCCCATGAAATGAGTACTGTGGGTGGTCCGTGCATGCAGCAGCCTTTGTGGCCGCACTGATATGATCCCTTCTGTCTCCTGCAGTAGCTCTGCTTCATCTGGTGTTAGTCTAGCTGCAAAACCATTAAGGACATTGCGATAAGAGTAAATTATGTGCGAGGATGCAGAATCATTTAGACTCGTTTTCTTTGGGGGCAGAAAAGAATGGTGCCACATTTGTAAACTATCCAAGTCAGAGAAAAGTTGGCCATGAAAAGACTCAAGATGGACTATGTAAGTATCTGAGTTGCTCTGCTGATTGGTATTACTTGCCTGTATGGCTGAAGAATAAAGACTGAGAGTAAAGATGGCACTTAAAAGAAGTTTCAAATCCATGTTTATGAGTGCTAATTAATGAGACACATTTCTTGTAAACCACATATATATAGTGTTAATTTCTTATGATTGGTTTTGTCATCATTTTTTTTAACAGTGTCTTCAGTATTGAAGTAATCGAAAGAATTTGAGTGACACTGAAGTTTTGAGAAGGATGTGATTGGTTCTGAACTCTCCAATTGGCTTGAAACGCAATCTCTGTTTGAGCTAAGAAATGAAAGCCTAAGACAAGCCATTTGGAGCTTGCTTTGGTTTTTATTGCAATTAAAAAATCTTTTCAACTAGGCGGCAACAAACTAATTTTGATCATCTAACATGTTTCACTTGGGAATAACCAATGATTTGCAGGCTGAATATTTATTGTAGGAGGAATCTGTTCTGATGGAAATAAATCCAAGGACTTGCTTACAAGCATTGTGGATGACTTCAAGAATCACTTCTCTGCTTTGTGGTTAAAGTAGAATATTTGTGGGGTTTGCTCGGTTTCAACAAAGGATTTGCATTCTGTTATGAATGATAAGTTCATGAAATGCACAATGATTAGAGGCAATGAAACTCCAAAAGCATGAAATCCAATGAACCAGTAAGCACAAAGGTTTCACAAGTAACATTTGTTAAAACTTGGTTCCATTTCATTTAATTTTTCTACCTTTTTCTGTGAAATTTATGCAATTAAAATTAGCATATTCTAATGGACACCGTTTAGAGGTGTCATTAATCACCATGGACTAGGCGTTGACAAACTCATTGTCAACTAATTTCCCAGGCTGGGAAATATTTAGAAAATGATCTGTTACAGTGTCAACTGACATTTAGTCTGTGATGATAAATGTTCATATTATCGTATACAAGAAAATGTGTGTGACATATCTGTGAATTAGGAATAACTAGGTAGCTTCAGAGGCGGATTCAGGATTTAAGCTTGTATCTACAAATTTGTTGCAATTTTAGTGGATGCACACAATTTTATGCTCCGCATTGGGAGTAATGGATTTAGGCGAACCCAATAACTTAAAGCTGCATCCGCCTCTGAATGGCTTTTAAAATAGCCAGGTTTGAATAACTGTTGCACTATTCATGTCGTTTGGCTAGTTAAATCATGTTATTTGCCATTTATTTTAAGGTTACCCATGACAAAGCTTACATGTAGTTATCGTTTCCATGCATTGATTATGTATATATTTTTACAGCATTTCAGTAAAGTTTAACGAAAAGATACTCATTTCGATATGCATTTGAAGGAACGTACAATAGATGGACAAGTAAAACTTGAAACCAAATTGAGTGGCTTCTAAAAGTACATGAAGGTAAATCTAATCTACTAACTTAGAAAGAGAAGTAAGATATCCCTATTGTTGTATGGAAAACAGTTATGAAAATTAATCCTCCTCACTACTCTAAGGTAACTACGATTGGGCTCCTAACGAAGTGCTTGGATGAAGTCCATCTCAAGTATCCTTGAACAAAAGTGGCATTGATGGTTGAAGTACTTGATCGGCTAAATGTTACTTGATATGTTTTCTTCTGGTTCAACTCGGAGAAATTCAATAGAGGAGGGTCAACTCTCACATCAACTCCTTGTGGTGGCACAATCTCCACAACATAAGACAAGACAGCTTCACCAACATTAGTCACAGTCCTCGTATATGTTTGAGCTTCTAATCCAAGTCCAATTGAAAAGGAAGGATAATTTAGTTCTGCTTCAGGAATGGCTGATGAGCAGTTCACTTTTCTCAATACAAACATACTAACTGCTCTGTTTGAGTAGTTTAAGCCACATAAGTAAGGAACATAATCCTCAGGTTGAATGTCATAGATTAAGCCTGGATCACTTGCTCTTAACGGATTAACATGTCCTGCACCAGTGGCAAAGAAGTCAGCAGGAACACCCCTTTCATCCTCAATTGGTTTTTCACCGAGGTTCACAAGATCAGCAGTCGTCATGATTGCTGATTTGATAGCAGCTGGAGACCAATCAGGGTGTGCACTCTTTACTAATGTTGCAATTCCAGATACATGAGGACAAGACATTGAGGTGCCAGATAAAAGGTTAAAAGTAGATTTCGTGTCGGTATTGTTCTCAATGGATTTTGGCCATGCAGCAAGAATGTTAACACCAGGACCAATAATATCTGGTTTCAAGATACCAGGACTTGCCAAGTTTGGGCCTCTGCCTGAAAAGCCAGCAACTGCTGGAGCATGATCATCTCCAAATATGGTTCCCTTGAATAAAAATGTGGCCTGAGGTTTTGATGTTGAATTGATGTAGGCTTTGATCTTTAGTCCATCTGCATAGCTGACATGTGCTGCTG